GAGGGGTCGGGTAGTGTGTGGGGGCAGGCATTGGGAATACTCACAGCCACTTAAACTAATTTCAATGGGCTTTTGTGTGAGTTTTTTGTGTATGAATTGCTCTCTCTCTCTCTCTCTCTCTCTCTCTCTCTCCGGCAATAAAGAAAATCAAGTATAAGTTATTGAAATTTTATTAAATGTTTTATTAGTGAATGGTTTCACTGGATTTGTTAACGAAAAATAAAAATGAATGAAATAATAATTTTTCTCATTGATTGACTCAATTCAGGGCCATTTCGTAACTCGTTTAATGATTTAAATATGAAAAATTAAATGAATTGAAATACTATTATCTATGAAATATATTGTAATAAATGTCATACAAGTCTAGAGACAACACAACATACAGACAATGATTGATCAATAATAACATTATAAATGTTTACTATATTTTTGCTATTAAAATGAGTTATAAATTGTTCAGTCATTGCATAACTATTTATATGCCGTTTAAATGTCTGGTGTTTTTTTGGTTACGATTTCGCATTAATTGTAAAATTATGGGCGAATTAATTGAAAATTTGCCGATAATTTTGCAATTAAATTAAAATTTATATCATGTCTGAAGTGATGTCAGTCGACAATCGCCGTCAATAATAGGCAAATGTATTAAAATATTGATTATAAAACACAGATTTCTCGTATTTATCATTATGAAAATTGTATATTCAATTTACCTTATTCTGTATATTAGTGCACAGCGTATATGTATTGTATAAAACAGATACATATAGTGTAATAAAGACCGACAGTATTTTTCTATCATTTTATTTCTTATCTATTCACTCGTATCTGAATATTATCGGCAAAAACTATATAAAATATACTATTCAACAAAATTAATCTTAATGTTTTATCATTAAAATCTATATATAATACGATGGGCTGCGATGGGAACGGGTAGCTAATAATTGCCGGTGCGGTGCTAGCGATGGTGGCCCTCAAAGGCCACCCAACACATACACATATACATTAAGGCTATACCTATGTATCACAGTCAGGCACCTTACCTATGAAAATGGTAATATTCATATCCCGGGACCGTTTAGTTATAGGTCCGGTTTTTATTCAAATCATATTTTCAGAGTAAATCCCTTTTGAAACAATTTTGAGATTGTTTTTGATATTAATTCCTTATCTGTAGATAAAATTATAAAAATAATAAGTTTTTATTGATATTTATACAGTATAATGACTATTGAGACAATTTATATAATACTGTGTTTTAACTAAATTACGGCATCATATCGTAAATATCATAGAAAATAAAATCAATTATAAAATTGTTTCACTCATACAGTATGTATTGTGATATGATTTTTGTGAAATGTCTATTAAAATTATTTACTCAATAGTGAGTGAATGAAGGAGAGAGAGAGAGAGAGAGAGAGAGAGAGTTATATACTCATGATAATTTATTGATGAGATAATATCACCGATTTCCTGACAGTCGGCATAAAAATCATATAAATAATTGTAATTGTTTTGGGAATAATTCATACGTTTGTTATTGTGATAAATATTTGATTTCATAACTAAACAAGAATTAAAAATATCGCTATAATTATAAAACATTTTAAATTGTTGTCCAATTGTATAGTTTGCTAATTGATCACAAAATTCATTATTTTTGTTTATTATAGTTGTATTTGTTACATTTATGTTATTGCCTTTATAAATATGTATTTTATCAAAACATATAGTGATTGCCGGCAATGAAATCACTGAAAATCTATCGTAAATAACAGTTGTTGTGGTTTCGTATGAGAAATATATTTTACATATTGTTATGATTTGATACAAACAGACGGATAAACACAATGTGAAAAATAACTTATGAAACATCTTTGAAAACATGATTAAACACTCGTTATAATTATAATTAATATAGTTTTAATTTTAAACTTTTAAATAATAATGCTTTACAACAATAATTTAATAATTAATATAAGTATAATCAAAAGTATACAATATAAATGTATTATATAAAGCAATTTATAATATAAAATCCCTTCACTGAAAGCTAGGCAGCTAAACAGTTATACTGAGTGATCAGGGTCTTTAAATATCAATAAATTCAATTCAATACTAATTGAAAGTTTATTCCAAACATTAATTTATATTTTGCTAAATTAATTCAATAACAATTGTAAATACTTATTTTAATATTAATGTTTATTTTTCCTGTATAAATAATATTTGAATTTGTCAATAAACTGTATTTTAATAACAATTTGTTGTCATTAAAATAATGAAAATTCTATTGATCAAGTATTATTAAGTTTATTTTTGAAAACCTATTTCTGTATATCAATAAGAATAATGTAAATATAAATAATTAGCAAAATATAATTAAAATAAAATATACATGTGTTTGTACTTGGTCAATTATTTTAACAAATTATATCTAAAATCTAAATATTTGATTTGATCTAAAGATAATTTGTTTAAACATTGTTGAAATTTATTTCACTCATCGCACTGTAAATCGTATGTCTGAGATAACCAAGCTTTTTGTTTTTCATACATGCCCAGTCTAGCCTTCGAGTTATCCTACACATAAACAAACAAACTAGATTTAATATCAATCCACCAACCATGCTCAATTTTATTTTAATTACTAACCCAATTACAAAATTGCATATTTGATGCCCGGATCAAACTCACGGACCAAAGAGCCCAAAACAAATGCGCCGCCACTGAGTAATAGTTGGCCTCACGGATCAACTGGTCCTCCGTTTCCCTCCCGGCGCTCAAATCGGGTGAATGTTTGATATAATGACACATAAAGTGTCGCTTCTCCTCATCGGTCGGAAAGGCGTCAAAGTCTACCCTAAAATACGGGTAATCGGCGACAGAGAAATCGTATTGATTTTCAATGAAATGTGTGCCAAAGTCAAAGCCCCGGTAGTTATAGGCGGCCCACTCGTAGTCAATGATGAGTAGGCCATCGCCCCCATAGGCCAGGGGGTCATCACATATGAGTACATTTCCCGGAGATAAGTCGTTGTGTGCAAACACTACGGGTGACCCGCACTCGGGTAGTACTCGTCTCAGCCATCGTAATTCACGGCGATAGTCATAGCCGACGACTTCCCGCTCCAACTCGGGGTTCGGGTACTGTTGGGCGGGTGTGTCGGCGCCCGTAGGTGTGGGCACAGTCTTAAGCCATTTTTCCATTGTGTTGAATAGATAGTCGGGTTTTTTGTTTATGGGCACATTTAATGTGTGGATTCGGGCAAAGTTTTTAGCTATTCTGCCCACATATTCCCTGTTTTTGAGCTCCTGTGGCACCAGTGCTCGAGACTGCGTTGTTTTTGGGCACCAGTAGTTAAAATAAATTATTATTTTTGTTGTATTAAAATTAATTAAAAACATTATTAAATATAAAACGTTTATTGTTAAGTTATTAAGTATAGAAAGTTATGGTTAAAAGAATTGTAAAGCATTTAGATAATTATACGATAATTAAACATATATTACATGCGATATTTTACTTACGGGTATAAACTCCTCGAGTCGTCCGCCGGAGAATACGCCATAGAGTTTGGGACCCAAACCGCGTTCAGACAATAGTAATGTTATGAGACTATCGGTAACCTTATAGTCGTCGCCGGGAATTGTAGTCCCGATGCCGTACAGTCGCAGCAACGCATGTCTCGGCTCACTGGCCACCGGTTCCCAACCCTCAGGTAGTGAACAGTAATATATTTGGTTACTATAACCACCGCTAATAAACAAATTTACACATAAATACTATAGTTAATTAATTTTTAAAAATATACTTTCATAATTGAACTTTTTACTTTTTAAAAGAGTAATTATTTAAATTAAATTAATAAACTAGTTAATGGAAGACAGAGTAAGCATTGTACAAATGCCTGTAAAATTACCTGATTGGTTTCACAATGATCTCATTTGTAGTAATATTTTCCCACCGACCATGTAAAAATTTCTGGCATATATCCAACCCCTTTTTCTCCATAATAATTCTTAATTACAAGGTTAAAGTTTGTGCTTTAAAATTGTTTATTTAACAATAAAAATAAAAATTGAGTTGCCAGCGCGTATTTATACTCAAACCAGTTATTAAATAATACACAACTTTATTATAGATGATAAACTAAACTAAACTAGTTGCTACCGCTGTAAATGATTTAACATAGCAATTTATTTAATGGGTACATAATTTAAATTTTTTGAATTTTAGTTATGTATGTTATAAATTATAAGTAAAATAATGATTGAAAATCAAATAAATTTATTGCAAGAATAGATCGAAATTAAAATTTAAACAGAAATAGTAATTAAAATCTTGATAATAGTTAGTTATACACATAAACACATATGTTTTAAATAATATGTTACATAATATGATATATTATATCATCTAGGCCATCGGGACAATCAAAGGACATACTGTATATTATTATAAGAGTAAAGTTCAAAGATTATCTTATCCTCAAACACTAGGGTAACCAATTTTAATGCACAGAATATTAGTGTATGTCAATTTAAAATTAAATATACTCATTAAAAATTTATTATAATCCTTATTTATAAAATTCTTAAAATTACGCCAAAAACATAATGGCAATTAAAATCACTCATTGAGTATACCATAAGTTTTAATTAACCATGCTTTATGTTTTTCATACGCCATCAATCTAGCCTTTGAGTTCTCCTAACAAATAAACAAGATCAATAATCAATTGGAACCCTAGGGTAAATTAATTGTAAAGCAAACCCAAAAACCAAAAGCTTGTTGCGATGTACGCGCCTGTCGTAGTGCCCAAAGGGACTCAATCAGATGCGGAGCCAAAGAGTAATAGTCCGCTTCACGGATCAGCCGGTCCTCCGTCTCCTTCCCGGCGCTCAAATCGGGTGAATGTTTGATATACTGGCGGAAAAAGTGTCGCTTCTCCTCATCGGTCGGATAGGCGTCAAAGTCTACCCTAAAGTACGGGTAATTGGGCTCTGAATAGTCGTGCAGGTGTTCAGTGAAATATTTGGCAAAGTCATAGCCCCGACAGGTATAAGCGGCCCACTCATAGTCTATGATCAGCAGGCCGTCGCCCCCATAGGCCTGGGGGTTGTCACAAATGAGCACATTTCCCGGCGCCAAATCATTGTGAGTGAACACTACGGGTGACACGCACTCGGGTAGCACTCGCCTCAGCCATCGTAGTTCCCGGCGATAGTCATATGTTGTCATTTCCCTCTCCAGTTCGGGCCGCAAGTATCGTTGTGCGGGTGCGTCCGCATCGGTGGGTGTGTGAACTGATTGCACCCATTTTTCCATCGTGGTGAATAAAGAATCAGTTCCTTTATCTATGGGTACATCCATTGTGTGGATTGCGGCCAACTTTTTGGCAATTTTGGCCATTAGTTCCCTGTCCTTGAGCTCTAGGCTTGTCATTGGCCGAGACTTTTTGTTTAATATAAGGGTTTGGATAAAAATTATGTAGTAAAGTACTTTTATTTATAATTAATTTTTAAAAGTTAAATCAATTATGTTTTAACTTTAAAATTTTTACTTATAAATTTAACTAATAAATGCTATAATTGAAATACAAGTATTTACTAAATTAATAATAAAATATGCAGTGAATTACATACGGGTATAAACTCCTCGAGTCGGCCGCCGGGGAATACGCCATAGAGTTTGGGACCCAAACCCCGTTCAGACAATAGTAATGCTATGAGACTATCGGTAATTTTATAGTCGTCGCCGGGAATTGTAGTCCCGATGCCGTACAGTCTCAGCACCACATGTTTCGGCTCACTGGCCACCGGCTCCCGACCCTCAGGTAGTGAACAGTAATATAGTTGATTGTTATAACCGCCACTAATAGGTAAATAAATTTAATTAAATAACCAGCTTAAATAATTTGTCATCTTTAATAAATTTGTTATTAAATTATTAAAATATATAAATTATTAATAAAATAGTTTTAATTATTATTTTAATAAATATTCTGTTTTCTAATAAAAATATCTTGTACTAGTTAATTAATGATTATAAATAACAATGTAAAATATATAAATTTACCTGAGTTGTTTTACGACAATCTCATCGTTGGTGATATTTCCCCATTGACCGGCAATGAATCTCTTGCAAATATCTAGAGCCTTTTTCTCCATTGTAATTTGGTTTATTTAAAACTAAAACTTTATATATAAAAATATTTTTTGTCATGAGTATTTATACTTAATGTTATCATAATAGTATTGTTGATTGCATCATGCTTATTCAAATAACACGTCTATTTAAATTTTGCACTCGATCACTTTGTTTTATCACTTTTATAGTAATCATGTGTTTATTATAAAGCCAACACAATTTACTAAAATTGTGAACAATGCCGTACAGTCTCAGCACCGCAGGTCTTGGCCACCGGTTCCCGACCCTCAGGTAGTAAACAGTAATATATTTGATTACTATAACCGCCACTAATAACTAAATGTAATCAAATAACCAGCCTAATTAATTAGCCTTGATTACTACAATAATAATTAATTAAAAATATATTATAAACTAGTTACTTAATGAGTATAAATGACCATTGTACCAATATCTAAATTTACCTGAGTTGTTCTACGATAATCTAATCTCTTCATTGCATCATGTTCAATAAAAATATCACGTCAATAAATAATAGAGGAAATAAAGTGATTAAACAAATTCTTTGTTTACGTGACATGTGTTATCCTATATCTATATTATTATCATCTAGGCCATCTGGACAATCAAAGAACATATTGCATAGCATTATAAAAGTAAAGTTAAAAAATCATCTCATTATCAAACACTAGGGTGACCAACTTTCTTCTTTTGAAAGAACTAGTCAAAAAGCCCGTTTTTAACTGGCGCGCTCAATGAGATTAAGCTTATCGTAACCTACTATCCCTCTGCTTGCATAGCGGATACGCCACATATACCGTCATATTGTTATGTAGTTAAGCAAGTGTTAGTATTGAGTAATTGAAAATCCCAGTATTAATAGTGCATTATTCATAAAAATTTTTCTATTGTTTAGTCACTTTTTAAAATGACCAAAAGTCAATTATACTTTTCTAAAACATACAAAATAAATGTGATTTAATAACTAATTTTGATACACTTTTATTTCTACGAGTGTAAAACCTTACATTATNGTCAATTATACTTTTCTAAAACATACAAAATAAATGTGATTTAATAACTAATTTTGATACACTTTTATTTCTACGAGTGTAAAACCTTACATTATTTTGCTCGTAGCTTCCACAGTGCTTAGATACTATTCAAATTGTCTGTACTTTAAATATATTACTCTACTATAATATTAGGTACCACAATGTCAAAAAAACTTCATTTTGTTAGTATAGATTTGATTTGATATCAAATAAAAATAACATAATTCAGGCGAGTTTTGAACATGGGCAACCTAAATAAAGAGCAGACACTCTAACCATTATGTGTTGTATACTAACAGAAAGATTTTGAGTTAAAGTAAGCACACATTATATTTTAAAGTTAAGGCAACGTTTAATAAAAACAATTGTAATTATAAAAATTTTTATTAAATCGTGACAATAATTAAAATATCATTCATTATACTTTATACCATAGGTTTTAATTAACCATGCTTTATGTTTTTCGTACGCTCTCAATCTATCCTTCGAGTTCTCCTACAAATAAAATAAAAAACTAGTTTAAAAACTAATATCGCCCTGGTTATAGCACACAAACCCAATAACCATATGCCTGTTGCGATGTGCGCGCCTGTCGTACGGCCCAAACGGCCCAAAACAGATGCGCCGCCAAAGAGTAGTAGTCGGCCTCACGGATCAACTGGTCCTCCGTCTCCTTCCCGGCGCTCAAATCGGGTGAATGTTTGATATAATGGCACATAAAGTGTCGCTTCTCCTCGTCGGTCGGATAGCCATCAAAATCTGTCCAATAGTACGGATAGTCGGGCGCCGAATAGTCGTACAGGTGTTCAGTGAAATGACACCCAAAATCAAAGCCCCGGTAGTTATAGGCCGCGTACTCGTAGTCAATGAGCAATAGGCCGTCGCCCCCATAAGCCTGGGGGTCATCGCTTATAAGCACATTTCCCGGCGACAAATCGTTGTGTGTGAACACTACGGGTGACCCGCACTCCGGTAGCACTCGTCTTAGCCATTGTAGTTCCCGGCGATAGTCATATGTTGTCATTTCCCTCTCCAGTTCGGGCCGCGGGTATCGTTGTGTGGGTGCGTCCGCACAGGTGGGTGTGAGCACTGATTGCACCCATTTATCCATCGTGGTGAATAGAAAGTCCGATCGCTTATCTATGGGTACCTCTAGTTTGTGAATGTGGGCAAATTTTTTTGCTACTTTGGCCATTAGCCCCCTGTCTTTGAGCTCTGAGGCTATCATTGACCGAGACTTTTGGTGTTTAACAAAAATACAAATTTTAATTATTATTAGATTTTTAAAATAAAATTTTACTTTATTTGAAAGTTTAATCACACATTTCGTTAAGTTTAATATAATTACAAAACAGAAAACAAGCGATAAATTACTTACGGGTATAAACTCCTCGAGTCGGCCGCCGGGGAATACGCCATAGAGTTTGGGACCCAAACCCCGTTCAGACAACAATAATGTTATGAGACTATCGGTGACCTTATAGTCGTCGCCCGGGATTGTAGTCCCGATGCCATACAGTCTTAGCACCACATATCTCGGCTCATTGGCCACCGGTTCCCGACCCTCAGGTAGTGAACAGTAATATATTTGATTACTATAACCACCGCTAATAAATGAATATATTTAAGTTAATAATTAGATTAAATAGTTTGTCTGCAGTATTAAATTTGTAGTTAAAATTTTAAAATAAATAAATAATTAATAATATAGTTTAAATGATAATTTCAATAAATATTCGTCTTTTTAATAAAAATATTTTTAAAACTAACTATTTAATAATTGTAAATGACATTGTAAAAATACTTTAAGTTTACCTGAGTTGTTTTACGACAATCTCATCGCTGGTTATATTTTCCCATTGACCGACAATAAATCTCTTGCATAAATCTAGAGCCTTTTTCTCCATTGTAATTTAGTTCAATTAAAACTATAGATAAAAATAATTATTCCACAAGTATTTATACTCAATCTTATCATAATAGTTGGTTGCATCATGCACAATCAAATAACACGTCTATTTAGATTTTGCGCTTGATAACTTTGTTTTAGCACTTTTATAGTAATTATGTGTTTATTATGAATTCAACACAATTTACTAACTCGTAAACGAGGATATTAGTATTTATTTTGCACAGTTGGCATAAACAAAACATACATGATACACATACTATCATCTAGGGACTTATATTAATATCATTCAAAAAATTCTTTTAAATATCTCTATGGTGATATTACTTTAAGTTTAATAGGATAATATACAAATTGTTTAATACAATATATTATTGGTATCTAATAATAATATTATTTTTTATTATCAAGGGCAAAAACTTTAACATTTTTATTATGTAATACAATCAATAACATACACTGTTTATTGAGCACACTAGATTATTATTTTTAATTAGTGTAAATAAATTTAACATTAAACGCAATTTACAGCAAATTTAAATAATTTTTTAAACAACCAAGTTAGCGAAAAGGCAAATTAATTATATAAACTTCAATTTAAACATTTTATTTAAAAATACCCCATGAAGTTGTGCATTATCATATTATTGTTTGATAAATTATATTGAATATTAATTATTTTATAATTTATAATTTTGTGCTAAACATTTATGAGTAGAAGTTTAATTATTTGTGTTGACAACACTGTGAATATCATGATGAATAATTGCCGGCAGAATTAAATTAGTTGAATGTACTTGAATTATAATCTGCTTATTAGAGATTTTATTATTATTAAATATATTGCAAATTAAATTTATTTTTAAATAAAAATAAATGAAACATTTATGCAAAACATTTGATAACATTATAATAGAGAAACCAAACCATAGACTGATATACGAAGCAATATATGAGACAAACTCTTCAAACAGTATTTTCGGCGAATGGCTATGGATTAGGTCGGGTGTTGTCGGCGCGTATAAAATAAAATAAAATTTACCAAGATTGATTGAATATTTATGTACATTAAGCTGAAATAATTCTTGTCTGCACTCGACTTTCTCACCACAATATTTGCGACATTTTTTACTAAAAATTTCATCTAAACTCATATTTTGTGTATAAATTGTCCACATGTTTGACATTTCTATATCTAGTGTCTGATTATATGCTAAATTATTTCCGGGCCATACGTTTTGCCATTGTTTTAAACTGATATCAATTTTACACATATGTATACATTGTTTGAGAGATTTATAGCCAATAGTGTTGTAATCAATGCAATCGGTTTCGTATGGTTTGGGCAATGAATTGATGATTACTTTGTTGTAAATAAAATAATAATCAATTATTTTATTGTTTTGACAATATAAAATGAAAGTACATTGCATAAGGAGTCCAATGATATAATCCATATAACCTACCTCGGGATCGGCAGTAATGACCACTTTTAGCGGGAAATTTTAACTTATTCAAAATTAACATATGGTACACTAAATCAATGTAGAATTTAACGTAGAATCGGAATATATTATTATAACTTACATGTAACATATAGTTTTTGAATTATCTCGAAATTAAGAAATTATAATTTCAATTTTTATTATTTTGACGTTGTTTATTGATTATTTTTTTAAAAATCACATCATATTCTTGAATGAATACTAAAATAGAAGAAAAATAAATATTAAAAAGAATAAACATTTTTTAGTTAAAATGCAGTTTTTTTGTAATAATTAAGCATTGTATATAAAAATTGATTTGGCCCATTCGGAGTAGGCCACCAGGGCTCCGAAGGTTCCTCAACATGCTACTAGTGAGGGGGCCTGATCCTAGCCCGAGAGTGACACCGAAACCCTGGCAATGTAATTGGATTTTTAAAACTTGGACAGAAAATCAAGTCTGGGTTGTGTTGGTGTTGTCGTGAGTAGTGGTCGATGTTGTGGAGAGGTTGTGTGGGGTAGTCAAAGTTGTGGTGGTGTTGTTGGTGTGGTGTAATAGCTTATTTTGACAAGTTTTAGTAGTTTTACAACAACTACAACAAATCTTTTAATTTTACTAATGTGATATTACTATATTCCGATTCTACGTTAAATTTTACATCGATTTCATATATCATATGTTAATTTTAAACATGTTTATATTTACCGAAAATAGTGACCACTATTGCCGAATTCGAGATCAAATTGTCATCTCAACTTGTATAATTTGATTTTTAATTTATCATATGTTTAGCATCATAAAGAAATTAGCATTAAATTAACTTTGGACAAAAAATCGCCCACTATACCATCAAAGTAACTTTTTTCCGGAGGGTTAAATAAAAATTATTTTTTTAGGCAAATTAACATAGAGTCTTCGCCATCCTCCTTTAGATTTTTGTTATTATTATAAATATTTGGTCTCAAAACTAAACAAGAATTAAAAATATCGTTATAATTATAAAACATTTTAAATTGTTGTCCGATTGTATAGTTAGCAAATTGACCACAAAATTTATCATTTTCATTAATTGTTGTTTTTGTTGTGAAATGTTTAGTATAATTGCCTTTAAATACATATATTTTGTCAAAACATATAGTGATTGCCGGCAATGAAATCACTGAAAATCTATTGTAAATAACAGTTGTTGTCGTTTCGTATGAGAAATAAATGTCACATATTGTTATGATTTGATACAAACAGACAGTTAAACATAATGTAAAAAATAATTTATAAAATATCTTTGAAGACATAATTATTCACTATTTATAAATATAATTCACATAATTTTGAATAATATAAAAAAACTAAAATTAAGAATTTAATTATTAATATAACTATAATTAATCAGGTTAATTAATTTATTATGATCAAGTAGAAAATGATTTGAAAGTGTTTGCAAAACTTCATTTATATTCTGTTTAAATGAATTCAATAACGATTGCAATTTATTTTATTAGTTATATTAATATACTGTACTTGTTTATTTTTACCCAAATAAATAATATTTGTCAATACACAGATTGACAGGTTAACAACAAATTGTTATTAAAATACTTATTTCTCATCAAATATCATTTATTAAATAAACACAATAATTAAAATAATATAACAAAATATAATTAAAATTAATTTACATATACAATATATTTTTATGTATTTACATATTTCTTTGTCAAATAGTATTTAATTAATGCTAGGTTAAATCTAACAAGTAAGTATTTAATATAATTAATGCGATAACAACTTTATGGATCATTATATGTAAGCAAAACAAAATTATTAGAATTTATAACTTTGTTGACTACTATAAAATGATGTATTAATTGATAAATTATTATTTAATTTAAGTTATACAATTATGAATTAATCAGGATTAATTGTGTTGACAATTCTATGACTAGCATTAGGAATAATTGTTGGATTATTTATATTAGTTGAATGTAATTGAATTATAATCTGCTTATTTGATATTTTATTATTCTTGAAGTAATTAAAGTTTAAATTAATTTGTGAATAAAAATAAATAAAACATTTATGCAAAACATTTGATAGCATTATAATAGAGAAACCAAACCATAGACTGATATACGAAGCAATATATGAGACAAACTCTNAGACTGATATACGAAGCAATATATGAGACAAACTCTTCAAACAGTATTTTCGGCGAATGGCTATGGATTAAGTCGGGTGATGTCGGCCCGTTCAACATTAAATAAAATGTACCAAAATCAAATGAAAATTTTCGTATATTAAGCTGAAATAATTCTTGTTTGCATTCGACTTTTTGCCCGCACTTTTGGCTACATTTTTTGCTAAAAGTTTCGTCTAAACTAACATTTTGTACATAAATTTTATACATGTTTGACATTTTCATTTCAAGAGATTTATTGTATGACAAGTAATTTCCGGGCCATAAGTTATCCCATTGTTTTAAACAGCTTTCAATTTTACACATATCTATACAATGTGTTAGAGATTTATAGCCAATAATGTTGTAATCAATGCAATCGGTTTCGTATGGTTTGGGCAATGAATTGATTATCATTTTGTTGTAAATATAATAGTAATCAGTTTTCTTATTGTTGACAACTCTATCCGGATATTCAATAAATTTAGTTTTAAATTCATTTCTAAAGTTAATTATTTCTTCCCTCGAATGTAGAGCTAAACGAAATTTTGATTTTTCTAACATTATTTCAACAAAAAATATATCAGTTATCCAATCGTTAAATACAATGTTATTATCGATTTGGAAATATGTATCAGATTTTCTTATTGGTTGAGAGAATAATGTAAAACACACTCTGTATTAAGAAATTGAAATACTTATTAATATTTAGATAGAGATAGAAAGAGAGAATAATTTTAATATATTTACTCATTATAATTGATTGATGTTTTAATTTCGCTGATTTTATAGCATTTAGTATAACTTTTATCTATATGATTATCTGACAAATTATACTCGTAATTATTTCTATAAGCATTTGGTTTAATTATATAACAATTATTAAATACTTTATCAAAGGTATAAAACATTTCAAACTGTTGTTTAATTGTATAATCTCTCAAACTATTAGATAAATCATCGTTTGATTTAATTGTGGTTTTATTTGTTATATAATTAAAATATTTGTCTTTTAAAAGAGATATTTTATCAAAACATATAGTGATTGCCGGCAAAGAAATGACTGAAAACCGATCGTAAGTAACACTTGTTGTGGTTTTGTATGAGAAATATATTTCACATATTGTTATGATTTGATACAAACAGACGGCTAAACACAATGTAAAAAATAATTTGTGAAATATTTTTGAAAACATAATTATTGTATAATATTAAATATGATTACAATTTTCATAAACTAATATGACTACACAGCAAATTTTAAATTATTAATATTTATAAGCATTTTCAATAAAACTTTTTAATATAATTTATTTTTACACAAAACACTATTGAATGCTAAATGTTAGTAACATTTGTTATATGTTGCATTATTTGTATAAGTTATACATTAAAACAATCAATAAATTTAACTCAAAACTAACATTGCAATAAAAATTATATACAAAAATAATAAATTAATTTCGTATATGTATAAATTTATTTTTGTGCTTATTTATATCAACAAATTTATATTAAATTATTGATTTAGCAAATGTTTATTTAACAAGTTCAATTCACAATAAGAGTAAAATGAAATGTTTTACTAATTACTTTACATTATTATTTGAAATAAATTTAGTTATTTTTGCAGATGTCATACATTTGAAATATTATTAAATAATTTGTTTTATGTTTATTAATATTCTGTGTAAACAAAATTCTATTAAATATTTTTTCTATCAATTTAGTAAATACTTTTACCAGACAAACATGGATATTGCTTTTCCTATAGACAGCAAACTATGCATTTGGAACTTTATTTTACTTTTTAAAGACTTGATCAAGCTCATTGAGTTTACGTGTATTCAAAAAATAATAATGGATTGAGTTGGCCGACTAGTTATTAATAAAACTTTACGACAAATTTGAGTGCAATTTTTATTTGTAATAAAATTTAAACTTAAACACAATTAACAATTGAATATAAATTATATAACAAATTATTAACATTAAATATATAATTGCTAAAATCACTCATAAATGGATGTTTATTAAACATGAACAATTGTCCAATTAATAGTTTATAACTCAATTTTTGAACGATTTTTTAAATACAGTACTACTACTCACTTGTCAGTAGTAACTACTGTCTGGTGTACACGAGTACAGCCACAACGGGTCCGGAGCTGATGGTCACCCGGAGCTCACTATCAGTAAACTCACGGACTTCTGTCACATCGCCGGTGGTCTGAATGAGACGATTGCCGTCCGCGACGATCACCGACTGATTGACACAAATAAACAATAAAATATATTTCAATTTCATTAATTAGTGTATTAATAAAAAATTAATTACCTTTACAGATTTACCACCGACCGATGGTGCGTCAAATTGTTTACCTAGCTCAAACTCGTACTCCGTTTTACCGCCAACCAATATGGTGTATACGTTGCCCGTTTTTGTTATCTCGGTGTTTTGTGATCGTGCTTTAATATGGTCAATCATGTTGTCTGGCATACCTGATGTGGTTATAATATTGTTAGTTAATAATTAGTTACAAGGTGAAATTAAAAATTTGTTACCAACCAAAATGTTTGAGCAATTGGTCAAAGTTGTTAGATGAGATCTGTTTGAATTTACCAGTATAGTCTGTCATGGTCATAATATTAAAAAACAAAATCAATATAATTTTTTAAAAAGTCTACAAAATAAATATATTTCAATAATGCTATTAATATACAGTACAGTCACTGTATTTTATACAGTATATAATTAGCTAGTTATTACTATTATTAAATTATTTATATATAGAGCTTAAATACCTTAATTTTGTAGATAATTTCCCATAGAAATGACCATACTGCACTTAATTAAATATAATCATAATTATCCTATTAAAGACTTTAACAGCTTTTACTTTAAGTACAAGTTCATAAAATAATAACTATATTGTTATAATTGAGTATGTCTAAACAAGTACATTGACAAAGTGCATTGCTGTTATTTTTACATTTATTTATGTATCAATAAAAATACAATTTTTATACATTTCTAAATATTTTTATGATTGATACACTAGTTTGATAAATAATCTAACAAATACATATAAATTAAAGTAACTATTAGCATAATCGTTACAAAATCTACTCCAATTAGTTTAATTATTAATAATATTATTTATTTCAAACATTTTAATATTATCTAGATAGATTAACGTATATTTTTTAGATGGTGTCTACTTTGCTTTTTATGCATTACAGACTGTAATTTACAGTGTAGATTTTTAATCTTTAAAAGATTAAAAGACAGTTAATTAATTGTGATTTTGTAAAGTTATGTAAAATTTATAGTTTTAAAATATATTTATTGTTAGTTTTCATTATAACAATTTAATGTCATTTACGTTATTGTAGGATTTCTATGAATATTTAAATTAGATACTTTTACATTAATAATTCTCATTTTGAGTTTATTTATATAATTATTAAAATGAATCTTTTTGTAAATAAAATAAAAACATTTGTGCAAAACATTTGATAGCATTATAATAGAGAAACCAAACCATAGACTGATATACGAAGCAATATATGAGACAAACTCTTCAAACAGTATTTTCGGCGAATGGCTATGGATTAGGTCGGGTGCGTTCGGGGCGTATAATGATATGGCATTATAATCGCTAAGTCTAAGATATTTGTATACATGTGCTCTATAATAATGAGTATTACATTCATTATTTATTTGGCATAATTTGCGGCACATTTTGGCCAAGGTTGTATCGATTGAATAATTTGTGAAATACAACTTAAACGTGTCAATAATCTTAACATTATGTGTTATATTGTATGCCAAATAATTTCCGGGCCATACATCAGGCCATGTATCTAAAAAGCCCCGTATTCTGCATTTAGATATACACACATCACGTGATTTATATCCTAAGCCCCGATATTCATAGCAATTAGTTTCGTAGGGTTTGGGCAAAGATTTGACGATCACTTTCTCATAATTAATATAACACTTAATGGTTTTATTGTTAATATGTTTTACCGGGTATTCAACAAACCTATACTTAAATGTATTGTGAATTAAATGCTTTCTGTCATGTATTGCTATCATTGGTGTGATATTAGTTATTTTTAGCGAAATATATAACAATCCCATGAAATAGTCCTTATAGTGTATATCGTTGTCCACCCGATAGTTATCATCAGATTCTCCGTTAGTTTGTGATAAAAATGTAAAACACATGCTATGAATAGATTATTGAAAACAATAAAAACAAAGTATAATATTACATATTAATAATTACATTGTATAATATAATGTTTTAATTATTTTAATTTATCTAATTTTATAATATAAATTTAAACAAAGTGTTAGTTATACAGAATAACTTATACCTAAATTTTAGGATACAGTATTGTAATTTATGAAAGTTTTATTTAAATCAAAATTAATTAAAACTATTCAAACCTGTAGTAATTTAACGACTGTTTATAATCGTTTAATTGATTACAATCGGCATAAATATTGTTAAACTTTTGATTTGAATTATTAGTTGATTTGATTGATAATGGTTTCAAAACATCACAATTGTTAATAATATCGGTGTAATTGTATAGCAATACATCCAACTGTTCTCTAATCGTATAATTGCCACAAAAAGTCAATACATTTTCAGTAGATATTTCTCTATTGATATGTTTTGATGTGATATTTAATTGTCTTAAGTATTCATTTCTTAAGACATCAATTTTATCAAAACATATAGTGATTGCCGGCAATGATATTGTCTTAAAACTGTTGTAATTAACAGTTGTTATGGTTTTGTATGAGAAATATATGTCACATATTGTGATGATTTGATACAAACAGACGGATAAACAAATTGAAAAGAATATAATTCGTGAAATATTTGCACTTATTTTTTGAAAAATATTCATTTTATAATAGATTTATAGAGAACTTTACAATAAAAGTTATATTATTTTAAATTAAAAATAATATAAAAACTTATTTATATACGAGACTGAAAATGATTTTTTATAAACATTATTTTCAATATAATTTATATTTTACTGAATAATATAAAAACAATCGACAAAAATGTGGTCTCAATAGACATATAATGCAAATATTATTAATAAATGCATTTGAAATATGATGTATTGATTGTCTTAATTTTAATGTATTTATTAAACAATAGAAATATTTTGAGATGTATTATAATATGATAATAATGTATTATATTTATGAACCAATATTAATAATTTTTAACTAAATTCATTGCTATTATAATAATTATTCAGTAATTGTAACATTATTAAAATCAATAGCACAGGCCTTAATGTAATTTTATAATAAATATATTAAAATGTTATTCCACATTTAGCAATAATATTGTGTCACATGTTATTTAAAATTATGTTTGATATTTTAATTCATCATATTTAATATAGTATTTTATTATTTAGATGTGGATTATATGCATGATAAAAATATCAATTTAAATAACTGTTAAATATGACAATTGTTCTATTATGATAAGTATTTCAAAATTAAATTTATTGTGTATTTGAATTGTATTAAAAATTATTCAATACTCGCTTATGGCTAAATATCAATTACATAATATTCTAAAATACAAATAGATTGATGTAAACTTAAAATTCAATTAAAAAAATATAATTATCATTATAAATAATTTAACTTAAAAATTGTTAGAATTTATTAAAAATATTGTTGAAATGTTAATATCATTAATCGCACTGAATACCATAGGTCTGTATTAACCAGGCTTTATGTTTTTCATAAGCGCCTAATCTAGCTTTCGAATTGTCCTGTAAATGAAACACAAACATAGATTAAATATAATTGCACCAACCATATTCATTTTTTAACCACTAACCCAATTACAAAATTGCATATTTAATCTCGATTCTCGGATCCGATTAACGGACCAAATGGCCCAAAACAGATGCGCCCCAACAGAGTAATAGTCTGCCTCACGGATCAGCCGGTCCTCCGTCTCCTTCCCGGCGCTCAAATCGGGTGAATGTTTGATATAATGGCAGAAAAAGTGTCGCTTCTCCTCATCGGTGGGGTATTTATCAATGTTTATTCTAACGTAAGGGTAATCGGCGACCGTATAGTCGTATTGGTTTTCAATGAAAAGTGTGCCAAAATCAAAGCCCCGGTAGTTATAGGCGGCGAACTCAAAGTCAATGATCAGATCGCCGCCATAGGCTAGCGGGTCATCACATATCAGGACATTTCCCGGCGATAAGTCGTTGTGTGCAAACACTACGGGTGACCCGCACTCGGGTAATACTCGTCTCAGCCATTGTAGTTCACGGCGATAATCATAGCCGACGACTTCCCGCTCCGACTCGGGATTTGGGTACTGTTCAGCGGGTGAGTCGGCGCCCACAGGTGTGGCTATTGATTGCAGCCATTTTTCCATCGATGTGAAAAAATAGTCCGGCCTTTTGTTGATGGGCACATCCAATGCGTGGATTTGGGCAATGTTTTTGGCTATTACGTTCATATAGTCCCGGTTCTCAAGCTCTTGTGGCACCAGTGCCCGGGACTGCATTGTTTTATACATGTTTCAGGGTGAAAATAATTAAACATATGATTATTTCTATTGAAACACCGTTAAAAATAGAATGCTCAACATATAAATTTTATAAAGCTCTTTCACATGTTGTGAGCGAATAGATTACTATTATATTAGACGAGTAATAAATTACATACGGGTATAAACTCCTCGAGTCGGCCGCCGGGAAATACACCGTACAGTTTGGGACCCAAACCCCGTTCAGACAATAGCATTGTTATGAGACTATCGGTAACCTTATAGTCGTCGCCCGGGATTGTAGTCCCGATGCCGTACAGTCTCAGCAACACATGTCTCGGCTCATTGGCCACCGGTTCCCGACCCTTAGGCAGTGAACAGCAATAGATTTGATTAATATATCCGCCGCTAATAAATAAATTAATACAATAATTTATTAATTTTTTTTAATAAAATACTTTAATTAATAAAATACTTTAATTAATAAAATACTTTAATTAATAAAATACTTTAATTAATAAACTTGTTAATTGATGACAAAGTAAACATTGCAAAAATGTTTTTAAATTACCTCAATGTTTTCACAACGATCTCATCAACACTGATATTTTCCCACTGACCATGTAAAAATTTCTGGCATATATCCACAGCCCTTTGCTCCATGGTAATTAAATTTAATAAATAATTTAATGTTTGTATTTTAAAATTATTTATTGCATAATTTAAATAAAAAATATTGAGTTGCCACGTGTATTTATACACAAAATACTTATTATGACAAGTAATAATACACTACTTATAAAAAAAACTAAAATGGTTTCAACGACCTTCAATGAGTGTATGTCAAGGTAATAATAGTTACATAATATTTATTACATACATAATGCATTTAGATTATTATATGATATTACAAGTAATGTACTGTACTTTTGATACAAACAGGACATTAATAAATTCAGATAAATTAATACATAAATGTATTTTTTACATTAAATTTATTTACAGGGAAGCATTTAACAGAATCTGATTTTTAATACAAATTTACAAATTTAATGTAGGTGTGCATATTTGGTGGTAATATTCAATATAATGTATTATTTTAAAGCAAATTTAATTATTATTTAAATAAACTAGTCTGTTGCACTAATGTTGTAAAGTTTACATTTTTTATGTATTACAAAATTTTATTATAATTGAATACTAAATTATATATTATAAAAATGTGTAGTTTATAACTACTAGTTATACAGATAACTCTAATAAACTTATTATAATATTAATGATATAATGAAATTTTCATGAAATTTTATTTATGTGTAACAATAACGCTATTTCCTATATTATCATTATTTATGGACACATTTGTATGGTTTGAATTTATAATAATTTGCTGATTTATAACCTTATTGTTATGTTTAATAAAATAACAATCAATTTTTGTATAACAATAAATGAAACATTTATGCAAAACATTTGATAGCATTATAATAGAGAAACCAAACCATAGACTGATATACGAAGCAATATATGAGACAAACTCTTCAAACAGTATTTTCGGCGAATGGCTATGGATTACATCGGGTGTTGTCGGCGCATATAAAACAAGATAAAATCCACCAAAGTTAAATGAATATTTCATTATATTAAGCTGAAAATATTGTTGTCTGCACTCGACTTTTTGTCCACAAAATTTGCGACACTTATTGCTCAAAATCGCGTCTAATGTAATATTTAAGTTATGTGGATCATAAGCGTTTATAATGTTTACATTGGCAGTAAGGTTATATGATAAATAATTGCCGGGCCATACATTTTTCCAATGCTCTAAACTGTTTTCAATTCTACACATATCTATACAATGAGTGAGAGATTTATAGCCAATAGTGTTGAAATCAAAGCAATCGGTTTCGTATGGTTTGGGCAATGAATTGATGATTATTTTATTATACTTTAAGTAATAATCAATTGTTTTATTGTTAACAACTCTATCCGGATATACAAGTAATCGGGATTTAAATGTATTTTTAATCAATTGATCCCTCGGATGAATAATAACATTCATTTTTGGATTCTCTAATATTATTTCAGCCGAAAATATATCAGTCATAATATCATTGAACTTTACATTATTATCGATCTGAAAATATTGATCAGATCTACCCTTTGGTTGAGATAAAAATGTAAAACACAGTCTGTATTAAGAAATTAAAATTAATTATTTATGTTTGAGTGAGTGAGTGAGAGAGAGAGAGAGAGAGAGAGAGAATAAATTTAATAATATATTTACTGTTCATGATCAATTGATGGTTTAATTTCACTAATATGCTGGCATTTACTATGGTAATTTGTGATCATAATTTGTGGTCATATTTGTATTTTCATTAAGTTTTAATGATTTGTTTTTTAAAACATCAATTTTCTCAAAATATACAGTAATTCCCGGCAATGAAATTGTCCTAAAATTGTTGTAATTAACAGATGTTGTGGTTTTGTATGAGAAATATATTTCACATATTGTTATAATTTGATACAAACAGACGGATAAACACAATGTGAAAAATAGCTTTTGAAATATTTTTGAAAACATAATTTAATAATTTATTAAATCAACACAAATAAAAATAACATTTATAGAATTTTATTTAAATATTTTAATTAAATTGTTATGTTTTTCACATATAATACTTATTAAACACTATTATCAGTGATAGAAATTTATTTGAATTACAGAATACTTTTCATTAAATGTTTTTCTGTTATATTATTCTACTTAATAAACACAAAATATAATTATATTTAGTTATTTGCAAATTAGATATTATCATAATAATATTATGCAGTATTTATTATTGATTTGACAAATATCATTTTCTTAATAAACAATTTAACATTTATTTGATTAAACATTGTTACTAAAAGAAATATTTATTACATTAATATACATTTGAATTTATTATAATGTTTGTAATAAACTTGGTAATTTGAAAAATTTTCATTTGTGCTCAAGAAATAAATTCTATCGAAAATTACACTAACTTACTATGTCGGTAAAATTTGTCACAGTCACTCACGGCACTCAATGTTCTAACTATACCCAAAATATAATTTGTAAAATGGTAAATAACTTATAAAAGCTAATAATAAATAGATATAATTAAATTAATTAAATATTCGATTATGTAAACAAAAGTGTGATATTTATTAAATTATATAACCTTTATCATAATTATCAGGTTTTTCATTAAATTAATTATAAGTGGTGTGAATCATGCTTACTCATGATGTCGGTAAATATTTTCACGTTCACGGCCTTTAAAATCAAAGTAATTAAAATTTGTGATAACCTATAATGAAACCACCGTCAGGAAAAACTAAAGAATGGCAGCAAAAGTGTAATATATTAAAAAATAATACTTAAAATCAATTTATAAAATATCAAATTTAAATTAATTTATAATAATAATTTATTGAAAACATTGACAATTAAATATATATTTAAACATGGAAAATATAAATTAACTTTACATAATAATTAAATAATTTGTTATTATAAATCGGTGCTCACTTCCCCTGTATTTACATTGTCCTTTTCATTACAATTAATACTATTTTTGTGACAATAGTGTTGTTTTGCCATTTGTTTCAATTTAATAGTCATTTCATTTCCTGTTTGTTTGACTAATTTGCTGAACAGACCATCGCTTGTGTCCAACAAAATGTGGGGAATGTCGTACTCAACCACTTGTCCCGCGTCTAACACCTGATCCGTCAATACATAGACAATAAGTACAACACAAGTGATGCGAACCCAACCCCATATCAAACCCTGGCTTACCATCACTTTGTCGGAGTCGATGATAGTGTTGAGTCTGTGGGCAATCGTAATGACAGTACAGTATCTAAACCTCTGTCTAATAGTGGTCTGAATGAGAGCATCGGTTCTGTGGTCGACATTAGCGGTCGCCTCGTCTAACACTAGTATCCGATTGTCTCGTAGTATAGCTCTCGCCAGACATACCAATTGGCGCTGACCTACACTCAGATTACTGCCGCCTTCCGTCACCTGTCCGTCCAGTTGTCCGGGCATTGACTGCACGACATCCCGGAGCTGTACCTCAGACAGAGCCGACCAGAGCTCGTCGTCCGAGTGTTCACCAAAAGGGTCCAAATTTTTGCGCACCGAACCCGTGAAGAGCACCGGTTCCTGAGGTATGATTGATATACGACTTCTCAAGTCATGTAAACCAATAGTCTTGATGTCCAACCCGTCTATCAGTATCTGACCTAAAGGTTCTGTGAGTCGAAAGAGGGCTGCAATGAGTGACGACTTGCCGGCGCCCGTCCGGCCCACGACTCCCACCTTTTCTTCCCCTTTGAGGCAAACGTTGATATTTTTGAGCACTTTATGCGACGATTCGTTGTATTGAAGACTCATATCTTTGAACACTATTTCTCCCATTTGTGGCCAATTTTTGGGTGGTTTCGGGTCGGGAGTGGACTCGAGCTCTGCCTCGGGTTTAATGGCAGTGTATTCAAGCACTCGCTCGACAGCAGTCATATAGGACTCGGTATCGGCCGATAATCGGACACATATTTGAACCATTCCGGTCAACGATAGGGCTTGTATTAAAAAATATGTTTATTAGTTTTAATAAAATACGTATAATATTAATATTAATACCAGATGTTAGCAAAAGTCCCGCATTTCCTCCGAGAATAGCTTTTAAATATAAAACAAACAATTAAAGTGATATAAAATTTCATTATAATTGCAAACATACGGTCACTACTGGTCATGATATACGTGATAACAGCGCTCACATAAACCATACAAATGGTGTCCACTAAGACTCCAAGCGCTCGAGCGGTGCAAACGAATAGGAAAAAAGTAGAGGTGTTGTCGTTTTGGTGGACTTCAAACTGACGCTCAAACATATGCTGTGCGCCAAACGCACGGATCGATGTCA